GGAATATAAATTTTTCTATCTTAATAACTCACTAAAGGTTTATTTATTTATTTTAATGTTTTTTTATTTTTGAGAGAGAGAGACAGAGTGCAAACAGGGGAGGGGCAGAGAGAGAGGGAGACACAGAATCTGAAGCAGGCTCCAGGCTCTGAGCTGTCAGTACAGAGCCCGATGCAGGGCTTGAACTGAAAAACCTTGAGATTGTAACCTGAGCCGCAGTCAGTTGCTGAACTGACAGAGCCACCCACGTGCCCCAAGGTTTATTTTTTTAAAAATACATTGATGCATATATAGGATTTGGCTAGTTGAATAACAACAAAAAAGGAATCCCTCAATTTAGAGTCCCTTGCTTGATTTTGTTGTGACCATATAGATTTTGTCCTCGGTACTTTGTTCAAAGCTAAGTAGAAAAGGGATGCAGACAGTAAGATCCCAGAATTCTAAGTTATTAGTTATCTTTAAAATGAGCTGTTGGCTGGGGTGCCTGGGTGCCTCTGCTAGTTAAGCATCCGACTTCGGCTCAAGTCATGATCTTGTGGTTCATGAGTTTGAGCCCTGCGTCGGGCTCTGTGCTGACAGCTTGGAGCCTGGAGCCTGCTTCAGATTCTGTGTCTCCTTCTCTCTCTGACCCTCCCCTGTTCACGCTTTGTCTCTCTCTGCCTCAAACATAAATAAACATTAAAAAAAAATTTTTTTTTTAAATGAGCTGTTGGCACACAACCTTTTTGTATGTTGGAACTTTTATACACATTGGGAAAATCCCCAAGTGCATATTTTTTTGTTGATAAAATTTGTTTTCCAAAACATGTTCTCTTTGTTCTTACAGGTCTATTAAATTCCTTGAGGGTAGGAATCACATCTCTTTGATTTTTGTATACTAAGCATTATTCCAGGCACACAACAGGTGCTCAGTGAATATGTGTCTAATAGGCTCTTTAAAGAGTAAAAAGACTCCGGGCACCTGGGTGGCTCAGTTGGTTAAGCATCCAACTTGAGCTCAGGTCATGATCTCACAGTCTGTGAGTTTGAGCTCAGAGCCTGGAGTCGGCTTCAGAATCTGTGACTCCCTCTTTCTCTGCCCCTCCCCCGCTTATGCCCCATCTTTATCTCTCAAAAAATAAATGAATGTTAAAAAAATGTTTTTTTAATTAAAAAAAAAAAGTAAAAAGACTGAACTTGAAGTTAGAAGGCCTGTGTTTTTTTTCCCATTAATTCACTTGAGCTTTAGGACCTTTGTAGATATGTGACATCTTTTGAACCTCAGTTTCATCTACTCATGGGTGCACTGCTTTTTCCATTTACTTCACAAAGTTGAGAAATAAATGAGATAAAATATGTTAAAGTATCTTGTGAAATTAAAAAGTACTGTACAGTTGTGAAACTCATGATCATTATTATCTGGGAAGTACTTGGTAATGAGTCCCATTGTTAAGAAATTACCTGGAAGGATATGCCAGAGCCTGCTAGCTAGTCACCAAGAATCCAATGTTTCCTCTTCTTCCTGGACCTATCACTGGACTGTGTCCTAGCCTCTTTCGCATTTAGATACGGTTATGTGACTGAGTTCTCACCAATGGAGTGAATAGAAATAATGTGTGCCACTTCAGGCCCAACGCTTAAAAACCTATCGTGAGGGCTCCCCAAGCTTTTTTCTCCTTCTCTCTCCTTCTGTCTCCAGGTTGGAATGGAGACAGTCCTGGGGTAACTGTGGAAGGCTTTAAGGGTGGTGAAGCCTCCTTTAACCTGCTTGGAGGCATCTGCACCCACCAGTTGTGCTACATGAGCAAGAAATAAGCCTCTGTTGTATTGGAATCTCTGTACATTTTGCGGTCTACTTGTCGTAGCAGTTAGACTACTCCTAACAATTAAAAGGAGCATGCTGACACATGCTCTACTTTTTCTTTAGTGCTTTATGTTTTCATAATCCTTACAGCAACCTTACAAGCAAGGGATCACAGGTCAAAGCTGTAAGTGTATAGAAATGTGGTCCATATACTTACAAAACAAAATAGAAGAAAGAATGATATTTTTTCATTTAAGAATTTTTTGGTTGAGAAAAGTTAAATAATGAGATTTATGACTTGTTATTATTTTTTATTTTTTGAATGTTTATTTTTGAGAGATAGAGCATGAGCAGGAGAGGGGCAGAGAGAGAGGGAGACAGAATCCAAAGCAGGCTCCAGGCTCTGAGCTGTCAGCACAGAGCCTAATGGGGGGATTGAACTCAGGAGCCTTGAGATCATGACCTGAGCCGAAGTCAGATGTTTAACCGATTGAGCCACGCAGGCACCCCCTGAGATTTATGACTTATTATTAAAGTTTATTTACATACCTTATATATTTTTCAGTTTTTCATTGTTGGAGGCCAGGATTTCAAAAGAGTATGAGGTATCTCTTGGTAATACCTTGCTTTAATTGGAATTTAGTGTGTAAATTTTTTCTTTAACATAATGTTAAAGCTATTATAATCAAGATACTCATTTTCTATTTATTAGCTGGTTCTAACGCATTTCATTATAAAAGTTTTTTGTTGGTGTGGGTACAGCTATCTAGACATCCTCTAGAAATTGGAGGACAAGGCATTTTCCTCAAAAGAAGCATGTGTGAAACTTCATATTACCTTCCTAAGGAATAATATTGGGGAAATTAAAATACACACTTATCCTTCTTTGTGGCAGCACTTACCCAAAGTAACCGATAATACTGTATCGTAAGATTGAGGAGGGAGGGGGTCGCTTTAAATCTATTTAGGTTTGAGGTGGTCCAGTATATATCAATGTCCCTAATATCAAGTACAATATTGATCAGTCTCCTTCTCTAGCATATTTTAGCATGTTTTACTTTCTAGAATATTTTGATTGTAGAAATAAATAATATACCATCAAACATAAAATAATTATCACAGAATGGACGCACTTTACTGTCTAGAGAGGGACCTGCCCCCTTTCTTCTTCAGCAATAAATTTAATTTGATACATTATATTTAGTAATCTGATTTCCCCTAGGAGGCTTGAGTTCTTCTCTGGGTTACAATTAACTCAAATCAGGAAATAAGCTGTGGACAGCAGATTAGAAATCCAGAAGGGTAAGAAATAAACCTTATAGTAGAGCTTTAAAAGGCAAGAGCAAAGGACAAAGCAGCCATAGGAAAGAAGAAAAAACTAACCGTATAAACAGGAGTTTGAAGGAATTAAGTGAATTGACAATCTCAGTCCTATTTTCTTGGATACCTTTTAGGAGTATTGAACTATTTATTATATCACATACAATAACTGATATTAATAATTGCCTTGAAAAGTAACATAAAACTGAGTTATGTTCAGAATACATTTTGGTAGAATGTGAGGTGCATTTTATTTATTTATTTATTTATTTATTTATTTATTTTTAATGTTTATTTTTGAGAGAGAGCGCACCAGCGAGCAGGGGAGGGGCAGAGAGAAAGGGAGACACCGAATTCAAAGCAGGCTCCAGGCTCTGAGCTGTCAACACAGAGTCCGACGCAGGACTCGAACTCACAAACCGTGAGATCATGACCTGAGCCGAAGTCAGATGCTCAATCGACTGAGCCACCCAGGTGCTCCAAGTGCATTTTAGAGTTTCTTCAGAACTTGTTATAATCAAGGTTTGGGTGGTTCCCACTGATCTGAAAATTTTAGTTAAATCAGGACGGCTTATTTCCTAACCAAATAGCTACTATTTCTTAAAAAATTAGTTCTTCTTAGGTTGCATAGAAAAAAGTACATGATTCTTGATTTCTGACTACCTAGTTACTCACCTTCAAATGCAGTTCCTTCAAATTATTAACCTTGGAGTGGTTTGAGTTCTTATCTATTTGTGCTAGAAAGAAGCTACATTGTTTAAAAATCAGATTCTTTTAAGGAAGTGAAAAGCTAGTGTAATTACTAACAGATGAGTTTTTGGACTTCAATTTTTTTTTTTAAGTTTACTTATTTTGAGAGAGCACAGGGTAGGGAGGGGAGGGGCAGGGAGAGAGAGAATCCTAAGCAGGCCCCACACTGTGAGCAGGATGGGGGTGGGGGATGGCAATGCAGGGGCTCTAACTCGCAAACCGAGAGATCATGACCGGAGCTGAAATTAAGAGTCTGATGTTTAACCGTCTGGGCCACCCTGGCACCCCTGCGCTTCGATTTTTAAAACAAAGTTGAATCCAGTTGGTATCTTTCATATAAATTGATTTTAATACTTTATATTTAGCTCCCCCACCACCGCCCAACCAAAGCTATGTCTACATTCTTTGGAATCTATCACTTTTCTAGAAAAATTGTTTCAATACAGCAGAAATTGCCTTCTACTCAGCTGATCATTTGTTTAGAGGTACTTTGCAGCGAGATAACTGGTTGAAGCTGCTGAGATTTTATTTCTTCAGTTTATAAGTAGAGTAAAACATTACGGTTACACTAAAAGAAATATATATATGTATTTTTTTTAATTTTTTTTTTAATGTTTATTTATTTTTGAGACAGAGACAGAGCATGAATGGGGGAGGGTCAGAGAGAGGGAGACACAGAATCTGAAACAGGCTCCAGGCTCTGAGCGGTCAGCACAGAGCCCGACGCGGGGCTCGAACTCACGGAGTGTGAGATCGTGACCTGAGCCGAAGTCGGCCGCTTAACCGACTGAGCCACCCAGGCGCCCCAAAGAGAAATATATTTTATTAAAGCGACTTTGCAGGGTTATTTGTCATGGCACACTAAAGATACTCCTAAACAAAATCTACCGCAGTGCCTCACATGTGGTAGATGTTTAAGAAACATTTGTTGAATGAGCATTGAATTTAAACTAGTTTTTGTTGTCATAGCAACCTACAGGCAAAGTGTCAGGGGTGCTGTATTTTTAATTTTTTTATAAATGTTTGTTTGAAAGGAGGGAGGACAGAGCTTGAGCGGATGAGGCAGGTGTCGTATATTTAAAAGATTCTTAACTAGAAAATATTAACCATCACATACTAATTGTATTTATTTGTGTCCGGGATGCAGGTGGCGATAAAAATAATAGATAAATCTCAGCTGGATGCAGTGAACCTTGAGAAAATCTACCGAGAAGTACAAATAATGAAAATGTTAGACCACCCTCATATCATCAAACTTTACCAGGTAGGACTTAACCTTATTCTTCTCCATGCTTCTCACAACCCATTCTCTCTTTTGCATCATTTTTCTCTTTTGTGTGAGTTTTTTCAGTCTATTAAAAAAAAGATGATTATATGGTTTCGTTAAGCTGGGTACACCCATTTTTTGTATTTTAATAAAAAACTAGGAAGTAAAAAACTAGTAGCTTAATTTTAAGTTGTCTCTGAGACTGTAAGGTATTTAATTCAAAAGTTTGTAGTTTTGCTTTTCTGATACTTAAGTCTGTTGTCTTTTGGTGGTGGAACCATTAATGGGGATATGGCAGTTTTGCTTATTTAAAAAAAAAAACACTTTATGTTTTTTGAAATACAAAGGTTAAAATAGCATATTACCTAGTGGCATACTTGGTAATACTTAGAACCAAGTCGTACATTTTGTTTGGGTTATTTTGTCAGATAAAGTAAATGAGCCATTTTTTTTTAAATCAACTTTATTGAGATAAAATTTTGTAAAATAACTATACCCATTTAAAGTATAAGCTGTGTTTTTTAAAAGGAAGATTTTCTCCGATTTTTAAAGAGTAATTCATGTTGAAGAATGACAATGTAATACAAAACATTTTTTTAACATTTCTATTTGTTAATATGTAGAATTTTCACACTGGAAAACTTTTTAAGCTAAAATGTTACACTCTGCTAGCCCATGACTTGTGTCTCCCTGGTGTGATGTGTGCACCCAGTGGTATGCTGTCCTCAGCCTGTACTGGCTTGTAATATCTATAACATTTTCAGAAGTTTTGTGAGTCAATTAATAGCGTGTTAGTAGCCCAAAATTGGCAATGGTGGGAGTATTTATACCACAAGAAGCTGTTCACAAGTCAGGGCCATTTTATTTTCCCCCCTACAGAGAGCTAATACTGGCCCACCACTGTGTATACTCACATGGGTTAGCACAAGTGTCCCGTGGGCATAAGAAAATATCAAAACGTCTAACTATGTGTATTTTTTGTATTTATCTTCTTGTGTGCACTTTATCATGTATATAATGTGTTTATACAATTATGCAGCACAAGTATGTAATTTGTGTCTCTTTACATTCATATAAACATACACAGGTCCGTGTATATATTTACATTTACATGCCTATGTACATATGTGTCTGGCTAGACGATTGGTTATTGATAGAGATTTGCAATTAAAAAGGTGTGGAGACCATTCGTGTTACCATTAGAATGAGAGACTATGATGTGCCACTCAAAACAATTCCCAAAGTTCTAAAACTGCACATGGCGCCTTAGGTCATATTTATATCACAGTATTTCTCCCTTTAAGCCTTTTTTTTTTTTTTTTAATTCCTAAAGAGAATACTTATAAGAAACTAATCACATCCTTAGAAGTCTGATGAACCATAAGCTAAACTGAGGCTACAACTACCATGTTTCACACAATTCCATCTTTATTTGAGCTAAATAATCAGTTAAATTGACTTACTATTTGGCTTATTTAGATGCAAATTGTAGATAGCTCTTTTCTGGCCTGATTGGGAATAGTCCTAAACCTACATGTTAGAGCAAAATTAGTCTTCAGCCTTTGAGTAGATGGCAGTTAAATTTTCACTGTTAGCTTGTGCCAGTACATTAAAAGATAGTGTTACAGAAAATCTAAAATTCACTCATTTTGAACTTATCAATTCATTTCCTTTTGGCTCATTATAGTTTGAAATAGCAAGTCAATGACACTGACACACTTCCTTTTCCAACCTAGGAAAACTAATTTAAATAAAACTGTACAGCAGTGAAGTTATGAAGAAACTTTTGAAGATTGTTTTTAAAATAACAGTAGTTTATAACAGTATGGCAGTACAGTAGGAGAAACATCCTATTGTGCCAGATTATTTAGGATATAGGCCAGATAAACTGAGCTCTATTTTATTATTCCTCAATCAGAGTCTACCACATAGCACAAGGCTAGAAAAGTCTGTGAGGTGATAAAAAGTTGATCTTCAAAGCTCCTTCTATCTATATTAATATTTCTTAAACTTGAACGTGTGTAACAATCACATTTTCTGTTTAAAAAATTTGTTAAAATGGGAATTCTGTGTCAGTAGGTCTGGGGTGGGGCCTGAGATGCATTTCTAACAGGTGCCTGGGCAGTGCCGCTTCCTCTGATCCATGGGCCAAACCTGGAAAAGAAAGAACCTAGATTTTTCACAGAAGAGTTAGCATAAAGATACCGTCAGTCGTGTAAACTTTGCCACCTTCTGAATTATTCGTAACTTGGGTACTCTTATTAGTAGTTTTATTTGTAATTCCATAGAATGTTGAATTAGAGTAGAATTAAAATCCTTTCCTGTCAGACTAATATGGAATTATTTATCAATAGGTAATGGAGACCAAAAATATGTTGTACCTTGTGACAGAATATGCCAAAAATGGAGAGATTTTTGGTAAGCACTTCACTGTTCTTTAAATTTGTTCTTAATTTGAATATGTCACTAATTTTCACGAATGTAGTATTTTCTGTTAATTTTCCTGCTCATTTAAGAGTTGGTAACTAGAACCTTTTAAGGATTAGAATACAATAAAATATTCAGTATGACAAAGATATGGAATATAACTTATTCTCTTGTATTCATGATGTTTATGTTTTAAAGCTGTTGCTTAATTTTGTCAGCTGCCTGAGAGAGAAGGGAGAATCACAGACAGGAAGAAACTTGGAGTCATATTGCAAGGGGGATTTTCTTTCCTTTTATGTTTCCTTTTATCTTCATTTTTTACCTTTCCTTCCAAGGGCAAAATTAGTCAACAAATACTTACTGAGTTCCTACTGCGTCCCAGCATTGTTTTAGGTATAGAGGATATAGTGGTGACCTAAATAACATGGTTCCTGCTGTTGTGGATCATACGGTTTAGAAAGCTCCCAACTGTAGCTGTAAGACCCTGGGCCAGTCGCTATACCTCTCTGGGACTTGGTTGCTTTATCTCTGTTAAGAGAGTATTTGATTAATTGGGTTTTATGATCCATTCTAACCCTTGAAAAATTACAAATATATTTTTAGTGTTTATTTAGTTTTGAGAGACTGAGTGTAAGCGGGGGAGGAACAGAGATAGAAGGAGGCACAGAATCCGAAGCAGGCTTCAGGCTCTGAGCTGTCAGCACAGAGCCCTATGTGGGACTTGAACCCACAAACCATGAGATCATGACCTGAGCCTAAGTCAGATGCTTAACTGACTGAGCCACCCAGGCGCCCCTAACCTGCCCATTTAAATCCAAAATGGTTTTTAAACAGCCTTTGTGAGGAATTATTTACCTACAATAAATTGCGTATATTTAACATGTACAATTTAATAAGTTTTCACACACATAACACACACACACACACACACACACCACCACAGCCAAGATACCCATAGTTCCCAAAGTTCCTTTGTGCCCCTCTATAATTTCTCTTGGCCCACCTCACCACCAAGCAACTGCTGATTTGTTTTGTGTCACTGTATGTTAGTTTCTGTCTTCTTGAGTTTTATATAAATGTGGCCATTCAGTATATGCTTTTTTGTCTGGCATCTTTCGCTCAGTGTAATTATTTTAAGATTCATCCATTTTGTTGTGTATATCAACATATCATTTCTTTTTGTTGCTAAGTAGTTTAGAAATAGCTTTCTATTGTATAAATATATCCCATTGTATCCATTCATGAGTTAACAGACACGTGGGTTGGTTTCTGGTTTTGGCTGTTAAACATGAATTGCTCTGAACATTTACGTACAAGTCTTTAACTTACAGTCTACCTTCAAGTAATGACTTGCCACCTCACATACGGTATGAGCCTTAACGTACTATACTTTTATTTTCTATCTCCTGGCCTTTATGTTCTTCTCAGACATTTTATTTATCCCTTATTTTATAAAACACAAAATACAGTGTTGTTATTTTTGTTTAAAAAGTCAGTTATGTTTTAAAGAGATTTCGGTATTGTCTTTTAAAATCTTAAATATTTCCAGGGCGCCTGGGTGGCTCAGTCGGTTTAGCGTCCAGCTTTGGCTCAGGTCATGATCTTGCAGTTTGTGGGTTCGAGCCCCGCGTCGGGCTCTGTGCTGACAGCTCACAGCCTGGAGCCTGCTTTGGATTCTTTGTCTCCTCCTCTCTCTGTTCCTCCCCTGCTCACGCTCTGTCTCTCTCAAAAATGAATAAAGATTTAAAAACATTTTTTTTGAATCTTACATATTTCCTAGTGGACTCATCATTGCTACATCCATCTATAGAGATGCACATTTTCATTTTCAATTCTTTGTGTAGATACATACCTTGATCTGGTGTCATTTGTCTTCTGTTGGAAGGATTTTCTTTGGCATTTCTTGTAATGCAGGTCTGTTGCTGATGAAATCTTTGTTTTTGTATGTCGAAAGTCTTTGTTTTTGCAAGATATTTGTATTGGGTATATATTTCTAGCTTGGGTTTTTCTCTTTCAGTACTTGAAAGATGTTGCTCCACTGTGTTCTCGTGTGCATCATTTCTGACAAGAAACCTGCTGTGTCTTTTTCTTTATTCCTCTGTGTGTGATGTGCCTCTGTTCTCTGGCTGCTTTTCCAGTTTTTTCTGTTCATTACAGGTTTCAACAATTTGGTTGTGATACGCCTTTGTGTGGTTTTCTTCATGTTTCTGTTCATTGAAGTTCCTGGATCTGTGAATGTACAGCTTTCACCAAATTCAGAAAAGTTTCAGTCATTACATTCTTGACCAGTTTTTCTGAGCCACCCCTGTTTCCTTCTCTTGAGAGACTCCAATTATACATCTGTTAGGCTGTTTGAAATTGTTCTACAATTTCAATGATGATGTTTTTTCTGTTTTTAAAAAAAATCCTTTGTTTGCCTTTGTTTTGTACATTCCTTTGTAAAGGCTTTGTAAAAAAAAATTCCTTTGTTTCATTTTGGATAGTTGCTCTTTCTGGGTCTTGAAGTCATTGAATCTTCCATGATGTCTGATTTGCCGTCACTCTCATGCAGTGTATTTTTCATCTCACACGTGGCAGTTTGCTGCTCTGTAAGCTTGACTGAGGCCTTGTGTTTTTTTTCTTTTTTAGATCTACCATGTCTTTAGTTGTCTTTTTTTAACATCTGGAGTATAGTTTTGATAACTTGTAATGCCCATGTCTTCGAATTCTCCTATCTCTGTCAGTGCTGAATCTGTTGTGAATGGTTAATGTTTCTCCCCAGTTTTGATCAGATTTTCCCACTTCTTTACCTGCCTGGTAGTCTTTGATTATGTCAGACATTGTCACTTTTACCTTACTGGTTGCCATATGTCTTTGTATTCCTATCCCTCTTCTTTAGCTTTGATCTGGGACACAGTTAAGTTACTAGGAAAGAATTTATGTCACTTGAATCTTCCTTTTATGATTGGAGCAGTGCTCACTCTAGGTATCGTTATTTCCCGCTTTGGAGTCCTCTATCCGATGCCCCATGGATTTGGGGTGTTTTTTTTTAGCCTGGTCAGTAGGAACAGGCAGTTCCTGGTACCAGACACTGTTCTCTCTGATCCTCACAGATTGTTCTTTTTATGGGTTTTGGTAGTTTTCTCACATGCATGTGCCATGTCTCCTCTCCAGGATGCTCACAGATCAAAGCTGTGGGCTCCTCAGTGTGTGTACTCTCTTCTTTGGTACTCTGTGTTTTGTTACCTCCATTCACCTCGTTCTCCTGAGACTCTCAGGTCTGTCTCCTTGCTCAGGGACTCTGCTGGGTGCTGCCTCAGGTTCTCCTCCCTACCTTGTGGCCTAGACCCTCTTTTAAGCCATAGTTGAGGGTATTCGTAGGTCTCACCTCACTTATTTTCTGCCTCTCAGGGATCACTCTTCTTTGCCTGATGTTCAGTGTGCTATAAACCAGTATCTCATATATCTTTGTCTTTTATTTATTGTGGGGATTGTCTCGGTACATCCAGTCCTTGTTCCTCCATCTTGAATGAAAGCAGAAATCTCCAATCCTGTCAAAATTACCTTTAAGTTTAGCTATTTTAAAAGGAAGACAAGTTTCTTCCATTCCTTCTCTTCTTGTTCTTTTCCTTTTTTTTTGTCTTCTGTTCTTTTCCTTTTTATTTCTGTCTTACTCTATCTTATATTGGCTCATCTATTCAGTTTAGTCAGTCTTTCAAGAAATCTTTACCAAAAACCAACTGTGTGTTACATACTGTTCTACCTGGTAGGAATACCACAATGAAGAAAACAGACAAAAATCCCTCTTATAAACTTTACATTCTAGTGTGGGGAGAGATAAAATAAAGGAATTAAGTAGAATGTATAGCATATTAGATGGTGGTAAGTGTTACGGAAATAGTAAAACAAGGAAAACAAGGAAGGGGCGTTGGGGAGTAGGGAAGTTGATTGCAGTGTTAAATAGAGTGATCAGGAAAGGCCACACTGACATTTGAGCAGAGACCAGAAACTAGTCAGGTAGATATGAGGAAAGAGTGTGTTCCAGGGAGAGCAGAGACCAAATGCAAGGGTCCTGAGGCAGCAGTGTGCCTGGTATATTCAAGGAATAGTGGGGAGGCCTGTCTGGCTAGAGATAGGCAAGCAAGAGAGAAGAGTAAGAGTGAGCAGGGAGGAAGAATAGTAGTAGGAGATGAGATCAGAAGGGCAAATGGGAAGCAGGAGTGGTGCACTATAGGGGCTTTGTAGGCCATTATAAGGACTTTGGCTCTTAACCTTGAAAGAATTAGGGAACCATTAGAGGGGATTGATCAAAGAAGTGATTGCATCTAATTTTACTTTTTTTTTTTTTAAGTTTATTTATTTTGAGAGAAAAAAACGCAAGAGGGGGAAGTGCAGAGAGAAAGGAGAGAGCCAGAATCCCACACAGGCTCTGCACTGCCAGTGCAGAGCCCATTGTGGGGCTTGAAGTGACAAATCGCAAGATCATGACCTGAGCTGAAGTTGGACACTTAACCAACTGAGCCATCCAGGCGCTCCTAATTTGACATTTTAAAAGCACCACTCTGGCTGTTCTCGGAATGGATTGTAGTGAGCAAGAGTAGAAACAGACCAGGCTGTTCCAGTAGTCCAAGTGAGAGATGACGATGGCTCAGCAGGGTAGTGGCAATACACGTAGTGCTATGGGTCAGATCCACGGTATGTTTTGCTAGAAGAATCAGTAGGATTTCTTGCTAGGTGGAGACCACCTAAATAGTGACTATGATTGGAGAAACGGCCCATGTCATATTCCTAAGGCCCTCAAACATTTAAAGACTGAGAAGATAGGAGGAGCCAGCAAAAGAGACAAGAGAATGCAGTGTCCTGGTTACCAAGGAACCAGGAAGTGAAGGAAGTGTTCTCAGGATGGTGGTGTGAATGACTATCTATGTCAGATCAAGAAGGGTGAAGAATGATAGTTGACCATTGTATCTGGCAGTTGCTAAGAGCAGTTTTGGTGGAGTGGGTGGGTCAAA